ATATATATATGTATATATATATATATATGTATATATATATAATATATATATATGTATTATATATATATATATATATATATAACTAACTATATATATATATATATATATATATATATTTACCAAAAAAAACCATGCAATAAACTGACAACACTCAAGATCTTCAGTCTTTCAACTTTCTTTTTATAAGTCACTGATTCAATGTTTATTTATGATTCGTTTGTTTTTTGTTGAAAGAATAATATAAAACGAGAAATATATACAAACTTTTTGTTGTTGTTGCTATATTTATATATTTATCTCGACTTCTATGCCCTACATAGGGCCTACGGGGCCGAGATTTCGGCCAAACCAATTTATTCAAAATATAAAACGATTTCAAAGCAATCACGTTGTATGACAAATGTGAATTGACTTTGTAACAATCAGATAATACAAACAAGAGTACAACTTTCGTGGTAAGTTGTACTATAAAAGCAATTGAAGTAGCATTTTGTTCATCAGTTAATAAAACAAGACAATCAAAACAAAATGAAGTTCGCCACCATCACCATTATTGCCACAGTTGCTATTGCCGTTAGCGCCCACTCCTACGAGCAGGAGATCACATGCGGTATTAAGGGATTCACCGGAAAATCATACGACGAGTCTAAGGTATGCTGCGAGTATTCCGGCAACTGTGGAAAATTGTCCAAGTGCACTGAGAGTTTCTGCAAAGCCTCTGGCAACTTTGGCAGCAGCAAAAACGAGTACAAGATCACCTGTGCCGAGAAACGTGAGCGTAACCCTGATGCCTTGAAGGGTCCCATCCACAAAAACAAGGAGTGCTGCCAGTGGTCTGGTGAGTGCGGCGACTTGAAGAAGTGTACTCAGTCATACTGCGAGAAGGATGCCCACTCGTCTGATGTTTACAAGCGATCTGATTTTCAGTTTTAAATTGCTTATAATGTATACAGATATATATATCAAATAAATAGTAAAAGGACCGCTACCGTTAGTGCCATTGAATCTTCTATAGCCATGGGTACAGGATTTAGTGTTTAGGAATTGACACACTTTAGATATACGTTTCAGGGTTTAGGTATAAATTGTATAGCATTTGATTTAAGATGTAGTATTTGGCACGACTATAGTACTACCTCTGGGGTGACAATTGGTGGAGTTTCATTTTAAAGTAGTGGTTACTCTTATAATACACCCTTTTCAGTGTTTTGTAAATAGTTAACTTTACTGGACACGGGACAAGGATAACAATCTCAATGAGCTACATATAGTTTGGTTTAAAAAAAAAGTGGACCTGGTATTAAACTCCTCACGTTTTCTTTAAATTATAATTGTTCTACCTTCCTGCTACCCTCCTGGATTACAATATCATCTTTCTTAGTATGTTTGCCGCTTTGCCAGTGAGGACTTAATATTTTGTGAATGTATTGGCCTTTGTCTAGAGATTGTGAACTTCAGAACAAACATTTGTGCATTTGTTTGTGTAGAATCACTTTATATTTCTAATATGTAGGATATGTATTCTACATCATGTACAATTTTCCAACATGTCGGTATTCCTTTGTCGGAGAAATAAATCTCCGCTATTCATATGGTGCATACACGCAGACTGCGAATACAGCCTGGTCTCCGAAATCTGGCAGGGTGTCGTCTCTACTTGGCCGATATCCTGTGAAAATATATTAATTTACCTGTTGTTGTGTTTGTGTCTACAGCTTTCTACATTGAAGATTTTGTCGTGAAATTAGAAATATTGTTCCTGTTTGGGAGTTCCAACTTCTGATCCTTCTGGCACCTAACCAACTTATTTGATTCGGTGAGGTCCAATTGCAGGCCATATAATCTGAACGTTAAAAAACCATATTGAGTTTATTACATAATTATTAAAACGTTAATACCGTTTGAAAAAATAAATATAATGTATATGACATTGTCAACTTTTGCCTTTGGCCCTTTTTCAATAAATTTTGAGGCAACTTCGATTTTATAATTTTTTTAGTCACTCTCGGAGTCTCGAGTCTCAAAGTGTTCGAAAATCGAATACAATGCCACATGCAATGATACGTACTCTGAGTACGGAGTAGATGTGGAGTATTCCAGACCTTTAATGTTGCAGTTTTGAGCTTATGCAGCTCACAGATCGATTGTTTTAACGAAACATAAAAGAATAATAAAGTTGCTTCCATATTATATGAGATACTTGTCATTTTACTGGTTTTGAAATGCATGTTACTCTATGCTCCATGCCCATACGTTATTTATCAACATTATCCACATCCAGCGACAAATCTACAACACAATTTTGAATCGCCAGGGTCATAAGAAGCCACACCAGAGAGACTATCCTCTACTAAAGTGTACCAAAATCAAAGGACGGCTGGATGGACCCATCGGATATAAAAGCCGTCGTATTTGAAATACATCTTTCAATTGAACTATATCATTCATAAATAAAAGTATCAAAACAAGATGAAGTTCGCCACCATCGCCACTATTGCCGCCGTTGCTGTTGCCGTCAGCGCCCACTCTTACGATCAGGAGATCACTTGTGGCATTAAGGGATTCACTGGAAAATCATACGACGAGTCCAAGGTGTGCTGTGAGTATTCCGGCAACTGTGGAAAATTGTCCAAGTGCACTGAGAGTTTCTGCAAAGCCTCTGGCAACTCTGGCAGCAGCAAAAACGAGTACAAGATCACCTGTGCCGAGAAACGTGAGCGTAACCCTGATGCCTTGAAGGGTCCCATCCACAAGAATAGGGAGTGCTGCCAGTGGTCTGGTGAGTGCGGCGACTTGAAGAAGTGTACTCAGTCATACTGTGAGAAGGATGCCCAGTCATCTGATGTTTACAAGCGATCCGACTTCCAGTTTTAATTTGTTCATAACCTTAGAATTGGCGTAAATTGCAGTTGAACTGCACTTCGATACATATGTGTGATATAAAGGAAGTCTTACGGCTACTGTTAGTAATAAAACAAAGCTACTTTTTGCAAGCATGATTCATTGGACATTTTGTTTTAACATTTATCTTGAATTACCAACTGAGAAAAACGTGTGAGGCGTAATTTCCACTCTCAGACACAGGCATGGAATTAGGTAATACACAAAATAATATTCGAGCTCCATATTATGTACATGGCGTTAAGAGGAACAAAACATCTCGCTATCAACAATAGAACTTTAAACTCCCGCAACTCTACTGGTGAGGAACATTGAATATGAAAATATATTTTTATCATTCCAAAAGACTTCGCGGTGTCATAAACTGTTTACAAATGGCACTTTGAGCGCAGAGAGTTTGAAAAACTGGAACTAGGAACATCTTACGTCTCTGTCATGCTGGAAAATCGGAACCCACGTCACATTACCAAGCACATACGTGATTATGTACATCTTCTGAGTTTGCAGTTGCATCGTGTACATGTGAGCATACGTATATGTATGCAGCTTATAATCTATAGTCTTCGTACATGACACATAATATGTATATAATAGCACATAAGATGTATAATATAGCCCTTGATGTGTTATATAGCACATAGGATGTACTATATAGAAAACAAGATGTATTATATAGCACATAAGATGAACTACATAGCACATGAGATGTATTATATAGTACATAAAAACGTATTATATAGCACATAGGATGTATTATGTAACACATTAGATGTACTATATAGCACATAAGATGTACTGTATAAAACATAACTAAGCAGCACTGAAGTTGTATTATATAGCACATAAGACGTATAATATAGCACAAAAGATGTATTATATAGCTAATAAGATGTATTATATAGCACATAAGACGTAAAATATAGCTTGTAAGATGTCTTATATAGCTTATACGATGTATTTTATAACATAAGATGTATTATATAGCACACAAGATGTAATATATACCACATAGGATGCATTATATAGCACATACGATGTATTATATAGCACTCGAGATGTACTATATAGTAATTAAGAAGTACTATATAGTAGATAAGATGTACTATAAAGTAAGACGTACTATATAGTAATTAAGAAGTACTATATAGTAGATAAGATGTACTATAAAGTAAGACGTACTATATAGTGATGTCTTTATTTATGATCGAGTGTGGGCTGGACGAAGTACGTACACGTATACACATACGTGAACGACACCTCACCGCATATGCACTTCTGTGGGTATTTTTTCAGAGCGTCCATTGGCAACCATCGAACCCCCCGAGCATGTTTATTTCTGTTCGTTCTTTAATTGTTGTGCAATCCCAATGAGAATATATCGTTGTAAATGTAATAGTTGCCGTTGAGTGACTTCAACTGGAAGACTTGTGAAAAGGGCAGCGGTTGATCCTGGTCGGCCTGCGTGTCCAGATGTGCGAAAGGAAGAGACGGTAAGCATATTAACATCAAACAAGGATTGGGTCCTATATATCTATCGATCTACATACCTATATATCTATCGATCTACATACCTATATACCTATATATATATACTCCTTCTACACATTCAATACAACACACACACACACACACTATCTTTTCAAGTAAAATGCATAAACAACACATTCGGGCAATAATTTATATGAGAATATTGCTCTATCCATGAATAGGTGATAGGCGCGTGAATCGATAACCAACAAAGACGAGTGTATACTCAAATATAATAAGGGTGAACTCACTTACCAGTATAGCAACTAACAACTGCAGCAAGCACGATCAGAACATCAGTGGCATGTACCCGGTCAAACTATGGTATAAAAACCGTGCAGACCAAGGCTAACCGCCAGGCATACATGAAGAATAAATACTTCACCTACGCATTTGTACAAACCAATACATACACTCACGCAGACAAAATGACATAGCACATACCTTCAGTTGACCAATAACCATAACAAGTACGCAGTTCTCTGGGCCGGGTTGGCAGTCCATCTTTGTAATGTTGTGCTGCACAGTTTGGAATCCAAGTCCCTGAGGAGATAGTAATTGTTGCGAGCCGATTATTTGAGACAATGACAGAACACAAGTATATATATATATATATGCGTGGGTATACATATACTGATACATACATACACACACACACAGGCACAGGCACAAGGCACAAGCACACACACAAACCAAATATTTATATATACATAATATATATATATATATAAATATGTGTGTGTGTATTGAGTTACATATATACCTACGCAAAAATTAACAACCATTTGGAGCACTTCATCGCAGATATCACAACCAGCACATATATAACAGTTCAATCGTTGATTCAACGCAAACGGTCAGTCCATACAGAATGTACCGACAGCGGTACCAGTAACACAGAGACAATGGACGAACAAATACGCACATCATAACTTATGCACACACATAGAACGCACATCAATATATACGTGCATGTATGAGAATTGTTGTTCTGTACATGATTATAAACAAATATAATCGTAAACTGATAGCAGGCGAGAACTCTGCATATGAGGATGCATATATGTTTGTCTAAGTAAATGTATATACACCAGTGAATGTAACAAAAATGTATACATGTATGCCTGCGAATATATATATATATATATATATATGCGTACACATACGTATATATATATATACATATATATAAATACATTCATGTATATGTAAATATAAACTATATATAACATACAACTATATATAGATACATACACACATGTAACAATATGCAAAAAAAGTTTATATAGATATAAATATACACATACGTATATATATACATATACAAATATATATATATTTATATATATATAAACAAATACTTGCAAGCATACGCGTGCATGTAGATATAAATGTATACACACACACACATATATATATACATATATATATATATATGTGTGTGTGTGTATAGAGTAATATGTATATCGACACAAAAATAACAATCATTTGGAGCTCTTTATCGCAGATGACACAACCAGCACATGTTAAATGAACAGTTCAATCATTGATTCAACGCAAACAGTCAGTCCATATAGAATGTACCGACAGCTGTATCAGTAAACACCCAACAATGGACGAACAAATAAAACACATCATAACATAGACACACACATAGAACGCACATCAATATATACGAACATATGTGGGCATTGTTGTCACTCTACAATTATTAAAAAATATGGATACGCATGCGTTGTTATGTACATATATATAAACAGATATACTCGTAAACTGGTACCATGCGAATCTCTGCATATTAGGTTGCATGTATGTATATGTCTAAGTAAATGTATATATACAAGTGAATGTAAACGCAAAGGTATAAGTATATGCCTACTAATATATATATATATATAAAGCATGTTTGAATATAGTATAGTACAGATATATATGCGTGACAAAATACATACGAGAACTATTGTATGTGATAGGCATACACACGTATATATATATATATATATATATATATGTGTGTGTGTGTCGTTTGTGGAAATATACTTTAACGCTATTCCACACATAAAAAAAGTAATTACTCGTACGGAAACACATATACAGACTGACACGTACGAGTATACAGATACATAGACCTTCTTCTCCTGCTGTACAACCACCGCATGTCTCTGCACATATAAATATAAACCTACATAACCATGTAAACATACAGATAACTTCTCCAGGATAGCCTGCTGGCCTTGGCATGCCGCGCCCTCCCATGTCATCATAGAGTCGGCTTGGTACAGGTTTGCGAGTAACGCTCTGTTGGAGTCGAATGTCTGGTAGTAAAAAGCGGCGAATTGCTCGCCTACTTCTTTAAACTGCGCCATAATTCCTAGTTAATCAAGTTACTTGGATTCCTGTAGAGTGTAGTATACAATACGAAGGAAGTGTAGTGTATAATCCGAAGGAGTCCTTGACCTTAGATATTTTTATTCAAACATATTGCCACTGTTTGCTTCGCTGTGCCATCACACACCAACGTGACTCACATTGTTGAAGTTGAATGTTCGGTACCTATCATATTGTTATAGGTAGTGAGCAACTGTCAAGACGGTATTTATAAAAATATGTCTGATGTTAAAATAAATAGAGAAAAAGAAATTGCCACAACGGAGTTTAACACATACTGAACTTCTGAAGCCGGTAGCCTGGGGAGGTTCATTTATATACAGCTCTTGGTTTATTTGGATTCATGCATCCTTTCAAAAACCATTCTCTTGAGTAGTTTATTGACTTTATTCATAGCCTTCTGCAAATAGAACACTTTATTGTTGTTTAATTTTATTTTAAAAAACAAACAAAAAAACAACTTAAAAAACAACAGGATAAAATGTTTCAATTTAGAAGGCTACATATGGTTTTTTTTATTGCATTTTTGTTTGGTTTTTATATAGTCCATTAAGTTTGTTTTTAGTAGTAGGCTATGGTTTTATGTGATAAAAAGTTTAGTGACGAAAAGTACGGTCATCAAAGCCTTGAGTAGAATATCGCCTAATTCAGAAGTCGAGGAACTGGATTCCTTGATTTTACACAGACGAGGTTTTTAATAAAAATAATAAAGCATATATGATTGTTATAAGTTTAAATATTGTGGTATGTCTGTCCTCTATATACTATAATCGCCATTAATATATAGTGATGACTGCATTGATCCAGTTTGGTGGATATACAGCTATATACATTAGACTGACAAGAAGAATTTCTGATTTCTAAACAAAACATCAGAAGGGATGTCGAGCTTATACAAGCCTCTGTCTATGAATCTGACGGCACATGCGCCAGTCGGTATAGGCCCGCGCGCAATTTATAAACGCTGCAGATCGATGGTCTGTGCCCAGCGTATGATGAATACAACATCTTTCATACAAGAGGAAGCTTCCGTCGATGATAACCCCGAAAAGAAGACATCTAACTCGGTCAATGTAGCGAAGGTATCGCATGACACATTTTTTTTTCAAAAATTGAACAATATATGAATTTGATTA